TGTGTGTGTGTGTGTGTGTGTGTGTGTGTGTGTGTGTGTGTGTGTGTTTGGAGGCTAGATGCTAACCTTGGGTGTTCCTCTTGGTTTTTTTTGTGATGAGGGCTCTCGCTGGCCTGGAGCTCATCCACTGGGTTAGGCTGTCTGGGCAGTGAGCCAGAATGTCCCCAGTGCTAGAATTACAGTCAGTGTTAGCCACATACTGTGCACAGCTTCGGGGGCTGAACTCAGACCCTGATGCTTGTGCAGTAAGCACTTCACCAGCAGAGCCAGTCTGCTCCCTTAGAAAAGGTACATTCTGATATGTCTCTGCATGCTCAGTGTACAAGAACCAGATAGAAGCTACATCAAGGCAGTGACCAGGCCTGACTTCACCAAGAAGGGACACGGTAGCTGGCATTGAGGAGCCCCCTCCAAAGAGTCTCCAGGAAGAAGACTCCCACTGAGAAGTTTTGCCGGTGGCCATTTTCTTATTTCTTTATTTCAGGCATGAAACCTGAAAAACTAGAACGAATCCAGCTTCCAGTGCCAAGTGCAGCTGAGAAAACCACCTATAACCATCTGCTGGCTGAGAGACTCATCAGGATCATGAACAACGCTGCCCAAGCAGGTACCCCTATCTTGGGGGTGTTAAAGGGAACAGATCCCTAGCCAGGAATCATGAGCCCTTTGTTTGAAATCTGGCCTTTGTGGGGTGCTGGAGAATTCTCAGCCTTCCCTCCACCCCTAGCCCCCAGCACCTGCCTTCTGTTGGAAGCAGGATTTTTTTTTGGGGGGGTGGTCCTCACCCTTAGTTGTAGCCATGTCTCTCTTTTCTCCCTCTGCACCATCCTTTCTTTTGCTGTTTGTGTCATGGCTGGGACCCATCTCTCTGGGAAGTCGAAGGCCATAATGTGGGAATGAACTAGGCTGAGAATCTGAGCGAGGGCAGCAGGTTTGAAAGTTTGGGTGAGGTTACACTCTTGTGCCCAGTGTCTCCAGTGTTTGACCCAGCACCTGTCTGCAGCCAGCTGCTAAGGCAATGATAGCAGGGAAATGAGGCTGTGGCCATAGTAGGCTTTCCCAGCTGGGGTGATTTTTACTCCAGAAGACGTGTGGCGATGACTAGAGACATTTTGAGCTCAATAACAAAGAATGTCCCTGGCCTGTAGTGGGTAAAGATCTAGGACACTTGATAAACATCTCGGGTTGCACAGAACCGCTGCAGCACAGAGTTACCTGGCCTGGCATATCAACAATTGCATAGCAAGTTCTCTGCAGAGATAGGAGAAAGATTACTGAAAATGACGGAATGCTTGAGAGACAATGTGGCTGCCTGCTAGCCCACCTTGGAGAAGTATGGTCAGAGCAGCCTAGTGTGGTAAGCCTGGACCAGGTCAACCAGAGTTGGTCAAGTGGCAAGTAGAGCAGCATGTGGCTATGGAAGCAGATGGGAGAGAAACCTGGAAAGCCAGGTCAGTGGCCTCAGGGTGACAGCAGGTATCATAACAGTTTTTCACAGGGTAGATGCCTTCTGGTTGCATCCTACATACCAGCCAAGAGACATAGCTCATGCTTTTCAAAGTCATAGACGCTCTAGACTGTGGAGAATGGGGGTCTTGGGTTCAGAGAAGAGGTCAGGATAAGACCAGCACTGGGGACCCTATGCATGGTCTGTCAAGGCCTAGATGAAGAGACAGGGGTATCACTGATTGAGCACTTGAGACACTGCTTATATCTAGAGGTGGCAAAGAAGAGACAGCCTAGGACCCTGAGTCAGGAGAAAAGGGACACAAGGTGTGTGTGACTCAAAACATTGGGTACTCATTGGGGTCAGTTGCTGAGAACTTCATTTTAAGGAGGTAGAACCATTTCCTGGGGCTAGAATCAGGGGCAAGCTTTGTGGAGGGTGCCATGGGAGCCACATGGGTCAGGGCATTGAGCCAGCTGTGCTGTGTTCTTTGGCTGGAACTTGTTGGACAGCAGAGAGGGTAAAACTGCTCTGAATAGACACATAGACCTCAGAGTGGAGAGGGGATAGAAGATCTGGGTTTGGGTCTGCAGCCGTGAACAGGGACCAACCTTCCCTGGGCTTTTATCATGCTAAGCAAGACCTGCTTTGCATGTATATAGATGTGGCATTTGTATGCACAAATTTTTCTTCTTATCTGTGTCAACCTCACCTACAGAGCTTTAGCAAAAGGGCTGGTATCTGGGGTGTGTCTCTGGGGTGTCCCTGCTTGGGACCCGGGGTCTTAGACCCCAGGGACAAGGCTCAAAGACCCTCTGTTCCTTCATTTTCCTTCTATACCTCCACCTTTCTTTAGAAATAAAGTGCAAAGACCTATGGGACAATTTGCTTAACCGTAGTTAGCCTTAGGTTGGGCAATGGGTGTCTTCCCTAGGAGGAAGGAGATGGCTTTTAGTAGCAAGAAGTTACCTTTCCAACCCAGAAAGTAGCATAGAGTCCCATAAAATATTCAACTGTGCCTGAAGCCAGTGCACTCCACCCCCCACCCCACCCTAACAGATTTTACATCAGCCATTGTGTTTGTGTTTGCTTGTGTGTCAGTTTCTGCTTATATAGTTTATGCTAGTCTGGGTTGGGTTTCTGTTAACTGTGAACAAATTGTGATGAGCTTCATGCTGTGCTAGCCAGCACCCAGACCTGGAGCCTGGTCCTATGTAAAACTGCCAGGAGGAAATCTCTACAGGAACCCAGTGTGCTCAGCCATGTTGGAGGGGGAGTTTGGAGCCCTTTTCTGGACACCTGCCAAAGACTGCAAGGGTTGGGAGGTAGCTAATGCTGGTTATCATACCCATTCAGTCAGGCCCACAGTTGTTCCTGTTTTTGCCACACCGCAGCACATGGAGAGTCTGTGCCCAGAGTTTCTGGAACACATTAGAATTGAGCCCCACTGGCTCTGCTGGGCCCCTTTGTCTGTTGTTGTTACCTGACCCCTGTGAACAGGGGTGGCACCTAGAGCATACAAGCTAAGGTGGTGATTGAGAAAGTAGAATAAAAGGAGGAGAACATGACTACTTCTGAAGTGTGGAGAAGATTTGCATTGTAGCTATAAGGGAGAAAGCAGCAGAGGGAAGAGTCCAGGCTGAACATGGCTGGCCAACTAAATTTGACCATGATAAGAGAGACAGGGAGAGAGAGCAAGAGAGGAGCCTCTGACCAAGAGCAGTGGCCTGGGTTAAGAGACTAGTGTAGCCAAAATGGCTTAGTTATATAGGGAACAGGCTAGGGGAAGGGAAATGGAAATCCAGTCCCTGGGAGGGAGAAGTTTAGGGTAGGGGGTGGGGTGAGAAGTGCTGAGTGACAATTATCCTGAATTTGAAACCTAACAGGTGATATGCTCATTCTAAAAGGGAGAGAAGGCCCAACTCTACTAAGTCACATGACCCACAGTGGGCTGCTGGTTCTATACCCATACCTTCAAGAGGGAAACATGATGGACAGGCACAGCTGCGGCACAGCCTCCCACCCTCTCCCACCTTCCCTTGCTCACCTGATAAGGCGACTTCAGGACAGATGTGGACTAAAAGGCTTAACAGGGGGATTGACATGTATAGCTCCCCTTACCCCCCACCTCCAACAGGAAAGGCCTTGGGCAAGACTGTCAGGTGATGATTAACTTCAAATAAGGAGAATAAGAGCCTTGTGTTTGGGATGGGCACTGGGCTGTGGGGGATACTGGGCTGATCCTGATGTACTCTGCAGATGGCAGGATCCGGTTGGCCACACTGGAGCTGAGCTGCCTGCTCCTGAAGCAGCAAGTACTGACCAGCTCTGGCTGTGTCATCAAGGATGTGCACCTGGCCTGTCTGGAGGTGAGACTGTGTTTCCCTTCCCTTCCCTTCCCTTCCCTTCCCTTCCCTTCCCTTCCCTTCCCTTCCCTTCCCTTCCCTTCCCTTCCCTTCCCTTCCCTTCCCTTCCCTTCCCTTCCCTT